CAGACCCAGGCCTGTGGCAAAGACTGATTTCCAATTTCAGCCAATTTAAAAAGTGATCAAACTATGTAATTAAGAGGAAAAGAACACAAAATAGTCCGTTTAATATGATCCTATATTTGTATTTTTTTAAAAGTTCTCTCCCTGTCTATTAAGGTCTTGTTAAGGTTGGCCCAAGCTCCCATTCTATGAATTGAAGAAAGTCCAATGTTGTTCTCAAAGTTTCTTCAGATTCCTGAGACTCAGGGCCACCTTTGGTTCTCAGCACCTGCTTTCTCCAACAGTATCTTGATATCCAAAGCATGTCACTCTTACCCTGTTCATACTGATTCAATGTGAAATTCAGCTATTCTACCTAATTTCCACAAAAAATGAGTTGCAGTTAGTGTTATGTGTTTAGCAGACTTTATTAAATGTTTATGGAGATGGGGCATTTACATTAGAGTGATGCAAATAGTTTTAAATTGTATCTGTATTTCATCAATTCTAAGACATGCAACTTTTCACATTTTAATATATCTGAAATAAGAATACACCTGACAATTGAAGGCATGTCATAGTTTAGTTGGCAGTGTCTTTTCTTTCTTAGTGGTACATGAAATAATGGTGCATTTTATAATCAATGACATCTTAGATTCAATGATCAAGGGAATTCTGCTTCTCTTTTCTTAAAAAGACCTTTGGTGATTTCTTTCTACTTGAGCTCAACCTTCTTGCTGTGGTGCTTGATCCAGTCTGGTGCCCTATGTCACATTGTTTTAGCCCACTACTGATTTCCACAGTAACTGCAGTGGACAGTTCCATGCTAGCTCATACTAACAATATTGTCTTGAGTGTGCTGTGTATCTTTTCACTTTCTGCTGCAGGGAAATCTACCTGGTCAAACAGTGCTCAGAAATGTGGGGTTAACATCCCCAGGGGCAGCCTTCAATTAATGGGTGTCTGGAGCTGGTGGTAAATGTCCCTGCCTCCCTTCCTCCAGGGAGATAATTTTGGGAGGCCTTTTTTATGCTTCTCAGGTGGTTCTGGACAAATTAGGCCCACAGTGAGAACCTTGATAGCACACCTTATACTAGCTTTTGCACTTTCCATTCTCACCGTTCTAGCGTTCTCATTCTTGCTCCCTGGGATCATCTCTCAAGTAAATTACTTGCACACAAGTCCTTGTAGTAGACTCTGTTTTTGGTGTGTGGGGGGGCATAGAACTCAAGTTAGAACCTTCATTGTACTCTCCCTCTCAGACCCCCCTCTTTCCTTAGGTAGAACCATTCCTTATGTCAAGACTCAGCTCAGGCTACCCTTTTGTATTCCAAGATTTCAACTGCAGCTTTGAAAGATTATTGTAAAGGTATACCAGATTCTGTCTAGGTCAAGGGGTAGGGAGATTTTTAGTTTTTCAGCTCACATTTTTATAGAAAAGAAAACTAAGGACCTATGTCAAAATGTGAAAAATGGTTGTCTGAAGATGGAAGGATGGGTACTTTGAATTTTCTTCTTTCTGTTATACTGTATTTTCTAAAATTTCTGTAACAAACATGTCTTAATTTTATAGTGAGGAAAAAACAATAAAAGTTAATGTGAAAATTCAATCAAATTGACTTTTTTAAAGTAACTTTATTGAGGTATAATTTACATACCATAAATTCACCAACTTTAAGTATACAATTCAAGGATTTTTAGAAAGTTTACCAAGTTGTGCAACCACTACCACATCCACTTCTAGAACATTTTCTTCTCCCTAATATGATTTTTCATATTTGTTTACAGTTAATCCCCATTCCCACCCACAACTCCAGGCAAACATGAATCTATTTTTCTGTCATTATAGATTTGTCTTTTCTGGACATTTCATATAAATAGAATATCATATAATATATAATCTTTTGTGTTTGGCTTCTTTCATTTAGCATAATGTTTTTAAAGTTCATTCATATTGTAGTATTTATCTGTATTTTACTTTTTTATTAGTATTGATATTCCATTATGGCTATACCAAATTTTGTTTAACTCTTCACCAGTTGATGGAATTTGGGCTCTTCCCACTTTTTGACTATTATGAATAACGTTGCTATGAACTTTAATGTATGAATCTTTGTGCGAACATATGTTTTATTTCTCTTTAGTAGACATGTAGAAATGGAATTGCTGGGTCATATGAAAAAATTATATTTAACCTTGTAAGAAACTCTGCAAAATTATTTTCCAAAGTGACTGCACTACTTCTTTCCTTCCAGCAAAATTTGAGAATTCCTGTTGCTTCAAATTTTTGTCGACACTTGTTATGTTTTTTTTTTAATTGACATATACCTGATTTAAATATTATATTAGTTTCAGGTGTACAGCATAGTAATTCAGTATTTTTAACGATTATACTCTATCAAAAGTTATTACAAGATAATGACTATACTTCCTTGTGCTATATAATATATCCTTGTTTCTTATCTATTTTATATATACTTTGTATCTTTTAATCCCATACCCCTAATTTGCCCCCTCCTTGTCTTCCTTTGTGATCATAGCCATCCTGGTGGATGTGAAGTGGTATCTTATTGTGGTCTTAATCTGCATTTCCTTAATAACTAATGATGTTAGGCATCATTTCATGTGCTTATTAGCCATTTGCACATCTTCTTTGGAGAAATGTCTATTCAAATCTTGTGCCCATTTAAAAATTGGATTGTGTTCTTATTGAGTTGAAGAGTCATTTGTATTTTCTGGATACAAGTTTTTTGCCATACATGTGATTTACAAATACTTTCTCTGTGGCTTGCCTTTTTACTTTCTTAATGACAGCTTTTGAGTAAAAAAGTATTTTTTAAATTTTAAAATTAGAAATAATATTCTCAGAAAGTCACAAAGATATTATCAAGAGGTCCCTGTACTGTTCATCCAGTTTAATTCCCAAAATTTGAGTTTTGGTTAAGTCCAATGCATTAAATTTTTTCTTTTATGGATCATGCTTCTTGGGTTGTGTCTATAAAAATCTTTGCCTAACCGAAGGTCTTGACATTTTCTCCTGTTGTATTCTAAAAGTTGTATAACTTCAGCTCTTACATTAATGTCTCTGATTGAGTTTGAATTAATTCTGTATATAGTGTGAAGTAAGGATCTAGTTCATCTGTTTTTGTTTTTGTTTTGCATGTGGATATTCAGTTGTACCAGCACCATTTGTTGAAAACTCTCCTTTTCTATCAAATTGCCTTTGTCAAAAGTTAATTGGTCATAAATATAAGGGTTTATTTCTGGACTTTCAAATCTGTTCCTTTGATCTATATGTTTATCCTTGCGTCATTACCAAACTGTTCTGATTACTGCAGCTTATATTAAGTTTTAAGATTAGGAAATGAAAGTTATCCAACTTTGTTCTTTTTAAAAAAATTTTGACTATTCTGTGTCTTTTGGATTTCCATATGCCGTTCAGGTACAGTTTGTCAACTTCTGCAAAATAGCCTGCTGGAATTTTGATGGAGATTGAGTTGAATCTATAGATCAATTTGGGAAGAACTGCCATCTTAACAATATTGGGTCTTCCAAACTGTGAATGTGAAATGTCTCTCCATTTATTTAGATTATATTTAATTTTCCTCAGCAATGTTTTGAAATTTTCAGTGTTCAAGACTTGCACTTCTTTTGCTAAATTTATTCATAAGCATTTTATTCTTTTAAATACGATTGTGAATGGAATTGTTTTCTTATTTTTATTTTCAGATTGTTCATTCTTGTATATAAAAATACAATTTATTTTTGTATATTAATCTTCTGTGACCTTGCTGAACTTGTTTATTAATTTTAATAGGGGTTTGTGTGCACACATGTGTGTATATTCCTTAGGATCTTCTATATTTAGAATCATGTTGTCCACAAATAAAGACAGTTTTACTTTTTCCTTTCTAATCTGGATGACTTTTATTTCTTTTTCTCGTGATTATACTGGCTAGAACCTCCAGCATGATGCTGAACAGAAGTTGCAAGGGCTGAAATTCTTGCATTTTTTTTTTACCATTAAAGTATGATATTAGCGTTTGCTTTTCATAGATGCTGTTTATCACACTGAGGAAATTCTCTTTCAAATTTGTTGAGAATTTTTATTATGAACTAGGTATTGTTAAATGCTTTTTCTGCATTTATTGAGATGATTGTGGGTTTTTATCCTTTATTCTATTAATATGGTATATTACATTAATTGATTTTAGAATATTAAACCATCTTTGCATTCCTGGATTGAATGGTACTTGATCAGAGTGTATAATCCATTTTATATGTTGCTGGATTCAGGAGAAATCTGACTTTTAAAGATATCCTGACTTTGGAAGAAATGCAAAAATTAGTCAAGTGAAGTGGTCTCTTAATAAAATCTTTAAGGTTTTTAAAAAAAAATTTCCAGTAACTATGATACCTTTTATTCATAACTTGAGTCAAAGCATTAATTCTTGAAATACTCTTCCTTGTTTATTCCCTCACACAAATGCTTATGTAATTTTGCTTTACACATAATCTTTCTCTGCAACTTTATAGTAATTGAAAGCAACTTCCAGAAAGTCATATGATTTCTCACAACATCTCTGTGAAGTATATTTGGAGAGAGGTTGGAATAATTTTTCAAACAAAAAGGCAAAGGATGAGGTAATAGATTAAAACTACATGGTGAATCACTGTTTATGGCTTGAAATCTTTAAGGATTTAATTATTTTCTTAAAAACTAGAAAATTCAAATATCAGTTTTATTCATCATTAGGACCAATAACCCAAAATATTCAAAACACTTCTATTGAATATAATCTATTTTCCCATTAACACTGTAGAATGTGTTTTCAAACTATGCATTCTTTTTACATTATACAAATATTGTATTCACCTGGACAAGAGGAAGTCCACTCAATTTCATGAAAGCTTATTATTCATTTCTCAGTAGTATTTTTTGAGATCAGTATTCATTTTATTTCATCATTATAATTGTAGGTTCGAACTCTTATAACCCTTTTGAAACACAAAAACTCAGAAAGTTCAAATTACGCAATTTTAATATCTAGTTCTTGTTTTGAACAGTGAACATTACAGATTTATCTCCATTTTCATCCTTTTTTTTCAAAATGAGTTTGAAAAGGTCATTCTCTTTTTTACAGGCTAGAAAGTATCCTTTGTACAATGAAGACTCAAATTGTATCTTATCATCATGTCCTGGAACACTTCTCTGAAAGAATATGATGTCATTTCCTTCATCATCAATATTATCAGGAGGACTCATTTCCTATAGAGAAAAAAAAATTACTTAATTTGTTCAGGACATGACCAATATGAATATGTGCAGTTTATTTTGAAATATATTACTATACAGAACTAAAGAGGTTTATATTCTCAAGAGTTAAGAAAAAAATCTCTGGTTATAGGAATACTGATCTGCTTACCCTCTTAATTTCTAACCTCCCATTCTTCTTGTCCGCTTTGGCTTTTCACACTATGGAATGCACATTCAGGTCCAGGCCTCTAGTTTTTCCCAATATACCCATCAGATGATTTCCTTCTCTCCTCTCCCATTAAGTGGAGTTCATATTTGCTTAAGATGAAGTAGAGTTCCAGCAAAGGCCACAACCTTTTTCGGCTAATATCAGTTCCTGTCTTCTCCAGCCATTCACAGCTAAAGACATTGATGACCTCCACCCATAGGCCTAGGGTAGCTCCAGTTTGTGAACCAACAGTGAGAGAGGCAGGAAGTGGCTGTAATCTCAGCTGCTTCCTTCAGTGGAGCCTAGAACCGAAACTGGCTATAAATAGACCCATTACTTGTTCTAGGGCTCAGTTAGCAGCTTTTGGTGCTTCCCTGCCAAGCATTCCAGTTCCATAGTAGTCCTGAGTTTCTATCCTGAAAGTAGTCTGTCTCTTGCCTGGACCTTGCCCTGGGAGGCCAGATGGTGATTCCTATATCTCAGCTGCGGAGCAGGGATTTCCTAAGAATGGCTAGATCCCTTGAAACTATAATCCGGCTGGTCACCTAACTGACAGTACTGCCTGCACTTTTCCTATTTTTGCATCATGCCTACTTTCAGGATAGACTAGAAATGTGAGGACCACCTCAGGTTCTTTCCATGTTAATCCCAGAACCAGCAGAAAATTTGAACTTAATTTTGACCCTCTGGTAGCAAAGATCTTCATGATCCTAAGGACTGACAGAGAGACCTTCAGACCCAAAATAGCATCCCAGCATCCTCCTTAGATGCCTGAAAGAACCTGTTTTTTTCCCCAAACTTCTCAATCAATTATGGAATTTATAGCCATAACTCTTGACCTTTGTCCTTTACCAATAAGTGTGAGTCTTGAATTAATGAGAGGATTTATTAGTTCTCCCATTCTATTATTTGCCAAGCACTTTTTCCATCTTCTTGACACTCTCCCCAGTCTCTCAATAAGAATCTACTTATATTTAGATCAGGCTTTTCCCAGTTTCTGACTCTGTCTCTGCAACTGAATTAGTTTTCCTCTATCCCACATGGCTTCAGCTTGGCCATCTCCC